GCGCTTCCACAGGGCCCACAGGGACAAAGTAACCCTTCCGGGCGCTCGGCCGGGGTGGGCATGAGGAGGCCGAGGCCCTAAACGTGTCGAATAAATTAGGCGAGGCGAAGAAGGAGGACCCCCTCCCCCTAGGCGCGCGCGTCGCGTCGGACGGCCCTCTTATCATTAAACGGCCCAATTGGCCGATTAAAGGGTGACCTTCCCTAGTAAACAGTTTGTCCCCCTCGCCCACTCCGAGTCCCTGACGGTCCCTGACCGAGCCCAGCGAGTCGAGGCGCAGGCAGGCAGGCAGGCAGGCAGGCCGCCCCCAACCGCCCCGAGCCAAAAAGAGGGCCGAATGCACCAAGTCTGGCGGGCGGAGTGTCTCGGAGCGGCGCACTGGCGCGCCCGATGGACTCCCGGCGACTCGACTCCGGCACCCTGGACTTGCCGGACTTGTCGGGGGAGCCGGGGAAGGCCCGCGGGCACGGCCAATGGGCGCGCCGCACCTGCGGCAGCACCTTGCGCACGGACAAGCAGCGCACCGTGAAGGCGAGGGCGTCCAAAGCGGATCCGATCCGAGCTTGACAGTGTCATCACTCCGATTTCACGAACTGCCGTAAGTACGGGGTCCACGACGAAGCGGCTCAGCGCGCCGAACTGCAGACTGATTCCGCGAGGGTCGTTTTCGTCGCTCTGTCTCTCTCGCACTCATGGGGCGTCCCGTATGGGAGCGAGAGAGACAGCGACGGAACACCTCTCGGAATGAGTCTGCTGAACAACGCAGCGCGCCTAATCTTCATAATTCCTCTAAAAACGTGCGGCGGGGCGCGGTTCAACGCGCGGCCGGCGAGAAGCGACGCGTTACCAACAACAACAACAACAAGAGCCTACCGCCCGTGCCCGTCCGCCCATTGCAGCGGCAGCGCAACAAAAACAACAAAAACGGGCAAAAGGAGCGACCGTGAATCTGATGCTGATCAACGTGTTGTCTGTGTCGAAAGGAAAATGGCTGCGGTGTGTCGCGTCGTACACGGTGTACTTGGTGTACCCGGTACCGCCGCGCCCACCGCGCCCCGCCCCGCCCCGCCCCGCCCCGCCCCGCCCCGCCCGTCACGCTGCTACGCTGCCGCCCGCATCGGGGAGGAGTTTTAATTAGTTCAAAGTGGCCGCGCCGCCACGCCGCCACGCCGCGCGATGGCCGGCGGGTGCGCTGGCTTCGCCCTGGCTTCGCTGGCTGCCTTGTAGCGGCCGGGCCGGCCAGGACGACAAGACCCCCTCCGTCCACTCCGCCCCCGCTGCCACGCCACCGCAAAATGGCGGCGCGAACCCGATTTTCAGCGCGGAAAAATATTCTCGAAACACGTCGGTTTTCCCCCCGCCCCGCGCGCCCCCCAAAAAGGAACGTTCCTCTCTAAATCAAGTAAAAGGAATGATCGAAGCGTAATCGTCCACTATTAATTAGGCTGAATGCAGGCCGGCCTGATGGGATGATGAAATGATTGGACACTGATTGGCCCCGATTTGTGGCGATCGTGTAAACTAAAACCTCCTTCTTCGCGCGTGAGCATCGAGCATCCCAGGCGAAGGCAAGGCGAAGGCAGGCGAGGCGGGCACGTTCCGAAGGTCCGGACCCACAGAGTGCGTGTCCGCGCGTGTGTGAGTACGTGTGTGTGTGTGTGTGTGTCTGCGTCCGTGCATGTGCGTGCATGTGTGTGTGGACTCATGGCGCGGCCTCGGTGATGGTAGTCGAACTGCGGGACCGGGCGGCAGCAGCAGCTTGATCGCGCAAAAGTCATGCCTCGTGTGTGTGTGTGTGTGTGTGTGTGTGTGTGTGTGTCTGTCTGTCTGTGTGTGTGTGAGTGAGCGCGCGATCTATGCCGCCGTCGCGTGACACCAGCGAATTATCGGTCGCCAAATGAGCGCATCTGAAAATCGTAGAAACGGCCATAATGGCGCAGCAGTATGTATTAGAGACGAAGGTCGTGAGTGTGTGTGTGTGTGTGTGAGACCCCTTTTGCGCAAGATGCACTGGGCGATGCGGGTGCTGTAGTACCCTCTCTTTCGACAAACATGGCAGATAAAATCGAATAAAATGCCCAAATTCAAGCAGTGAGGGATTGGATCCTCGCCGCGCTACGCACTGGTACGGCTTCCCGGGCAGTGTGTAATGCATTCTGCTTGCCTGCTTACGAAATTAATTTGGCGGCCTGCCCCGCGGGGGTTTTGCGGCTGACACTGCACGTAAGCACCGGCCGCACTAACACTGAGAGTACTTTCATCGCCGCACGTGTGAGTAGCGTGAGCAGCGTGAGCAGCGCCTACCCGGAACACACTCCTGGTAATATGCATTTTAATAATCAGGACACACCCATTTTTTCCCCTCTCGTGATGTATAAACCCCCACTGCGTTTCCAGCAGCGTAGCACGAAATTTTAATCTGTAGAGTTCTCGCTCTGCGATACCAGGACAGAATTAGGGCTCTTTTGCCGCAAATTAGGCGGCGCCGCGCAGGCCGGGGCGGGGCGGGGCGAGGCGGGGCGGGGCGGGGCGGGCGGCGTCCTCCCGGGAGGGCGATTTTCCTGTCACTCGCTCTGTGACGAGGGCCGCGTGGCCCCATGGCCCCGTTGCCGGACCACGATAGAGCGGCTCGGCTCGATTCCCGAATCCCGGCCCGATTCGACACCTGTCAATCAGAGGCCGAACCTTTTGTGCACGTCGGCGTCGTCGGCCGGCCGGGGCAGCGCCGGGGCATTTAGGGCGGGCAGTGCCGCCAAGCCGCGTCGGCTGGACCAGGTGCGCCAACCTGCTGACGCCAAGCCGACCGCAACGGCGACGGCGACGCTATGCGACGCCGCACACCGGTGGAGGCGGACAAAACTCTGAACGCCTTTTGATCTCCAGAGTCGCTAAATGGAACTCGAACCGAACGTGTGACCCCACCAATGGATTGCTCTCCGAACGAGGAATCCATTGATGGGGTCACACGTTCGGCTCGAGTCCTGTTTAGCGAGTGTGGAGCTCGAAACGCGTCTGGGGTTTCGGCCGCCTCCGCCGGTCTTCTGGCCCACTGTGCGTCCCGGCGGGGCATGCAGCAGGCTCAGAGGTACACTGTCTGGCTCTCGGAACAGCGCCACATCCTCTTTATACTGTTGCGCAGTGAGGCTCTCCCTTTGCCCGTGACAGCATGGCGCAGCATGGCGCAGCCTGGCCGCCCGGACCTGTTCCGTACTCGCGCTCCCCGGGAGAGGGGGCGGGGAGGGGGTGAAGGCCGGGACGACGGCCGGGACAGTCGCCCGCGGCTAGACAGGGAGCAGTGGGGGGGGGGGGAGGGGGCAGAGCCGGGCAGAGGCACAGCTGCTGGAGCCTGTGGGGCGCCCTGCAGGTCCGCAAAGGGCCGCCGAGGGAGACGTCCGCGAGGAAGGCGAAGGGCGGCGACGCGGCGAAAGGGACAGACAGTCGGGCCCACGCACAGTGGAGTTGCCTGCCAGAAGACCGGCGCAGGCGGCCAAAACCCTTGACGTGTTTTGAGCTCCGGAGTCGCTAAATAGGACTCGAACCGGACGTGTGACCCCACCAATGGATTCCTCGTTCGGAGGGCAATCCAATGGTGAGGTCACACGATTGGTTCGAGTCCTACTTAGCGACGCTAAAGCTCAAAACGCGTTTCGAGTTTTGGCCGTCTTCACCGGTCTTCTGGCCCACTGTGCCACGCACCGCCAGGACGACCACTGTGAATGGTAGAGTAGTTGGTTCTGATCGGGCCGAAAAAACAATGCATTCATCCTCTTTGAATGGCGCGTCCGAGAACGAAAGCAACAAGTAGTCGGACAACAATGGCCAAGGCGGGCACCATTGTAGACATGGAAACTTGAACACAATCTTTTTACAAAAACACAAAATTTCAAAAAAAAATGTAACAAACAAAAAGAACTGCAACTAAAAAAAATAGCATAACTCAAAATTAAAAATGAACGTAACAGTGATCACCATTGAACCGAACCTCATTCACCGTAAGTACTGAAACAGGCTAAGCCCATTAGCGCGAGAAATATGGAAATCGTCCATCGGCCTTTATTTTCCATTTTCAAACAATATCGGCCGTCGGCGTCCACCGCGACGTGGATGCCCTTCGCCCTGCCGGCCCTTTGGTCGTTATAATTCACCGCCTTTAAATAAATCATTTGGTGGGAAAGGGCCGGCAGCGGGCAGATCGTCGCTCTGTCTCTCTCGCTCACACGGGGCGCTCCGCCGAGGCGCGAGGGAGACAGAGCGACGAAGGGCTGCGCGCGGAGTCGCCCAGCAGGGACCACCACCGGCGGCGGGCGCGCGCCGCGGTGGACGTCATCTACACTGTGTGGCAGGACGGCGTGCCCCAATTAGTGGCGGGCGTGCCGCGTGACGACGGCCAGGACGGCGACCAGGACGACGATGGCATGCGCGCCTCGCCGCGCCACCGCATCGCGGGCACTCCGGAAGGCACGCGCGGCCACCCTCACGGCCAGGACCACGAGGGCCACGAGGACCACGAGGACGCGCTGCAGGGGGCCGAGGCGCAGGGAGCCGCGCCGTGACTCCCTCTTCAACAAGCGAGGTGCGCGCCGAGCGGGCGCCACGTGCCGCGCAAAGCCGCCGCAGCGGGCGGTCGCGGGTTCGACTACCCGCGACGGCGGTGTTGTTTTAGTTGTTAGCAGCCCTTGTTCGCACAGTGGGACAGAAGACCGGTGGAGGCGGTCAAAATCCCGGACGCGTTTTGAGCTCCAGGGTCAGTAAATGGGACTCAAGCCGAACGGGTGACCCCACCAATGGATAGCTCTCCGAACGAGGAATCCATTGGTGGGGTCACACGTTTGGCTCGTCTCCTGTGTAGCGACTCTAGAGCTCAAAACGCGCCTTGTGTTTTTGCTGGCCGCGCCACTGTGTCCATTGTGAGTCATGCTGCGCCAAAGCGATCGGTCGGTGGCGGGTTCGAATACCCGCGACGTTGTTTTCGCTGTTGGCAGCCCTCGTGGTGCTGCGCCATGTCGCACGCCACGTACAACGCGATGTGGTGGGCGGCGCAGGCCGACCTGCACCGCCTCACGGCCAAGGACCGCCGGCTGCAGCGTCGGCAGCGGGAGACGGACAAGCGCGCCTCGCTGGCCTGGGTGGTGCGGCTGTACGCGGACTACATCCGCATCACCCGCCGCCTGGACGAGGTGCACGACCAGCTGGTGCACCCGCAGAAGCGCATCCTGGTGCGTGGGCCGCACCGCGCCGCACCGCGTGCTGCAGGCCGAGCAGTGGGCCGGAAGGGAGAGAGGGAGAGCCTTATGGAGGCGAAGCATGCCTCCTTGCTGACCGTCATCCCTTGCGCAGATCCGCCGGCTCTTGGACGGCTGCATCGGCCGCCTCCTCGAGCTCAAGCACGAGCTGTACACCGAGCTGGACAAGAGCAACTTCCAGTGCGTGCACGTGTCTGTCTCTCTTGCACCCAATAGGGGACGCACCACGCGTGCGAGAGAGACAGAGCGACGGCGTCGCCATCACCGCGTGCTTGTCGTTCGTCCGCAGCTACATGGACGACCTGCTCATCGAGCAGAAGCTGACGCACCAGGACCTGGAGGTGCCGTCGCCGCGCTACTACCGCCGGGAGAACGAGCCGGAGCTGCAGGCGCGGAGGGAGTTCGTGGACCGCGTGCTGGGTGCGCACAAGAAGGCCGGCGTCTTGAGCTCCGGAGTCGCTAAACAAGACTCGAACCGAGCGTGTGACCCCACCAATGGATTCCTCGTTCGGAGAGCAATCCATTGGTGGGGTCACCTGTTCGGTTCGAGTCCCATTTAGCGACGCTGGAGCTCAAAGTCCGTCCGGGATTTCGACCGCCTCCGCACTGTGGTGCCCGGGGAAACAAAATCAAAAGTGACTCAACGGGCGGTCTTGCCCGCAGCCAAGATGGCGGCGGAGGCGGAGAAAGGGTCCGCGGTGGTGGCGGCCGAGGCCGTGGCGGCGGTGGAGGCGGCTGAGGAGGCGGCGCTGGCGGGGCTGTCCAAGGGCGGGCGCGCGCGCCGCATGCGCGAGATGCTGCAGGAGCAGCACGAGGCCGCCGAGCAGGAGCCCGCCGACCAGCGCGCCCTGCGCGAGGCCGTGCACCTCATCCAGATGCACGAGCGCGCACGCCAGAACCGCATCCAGTCCTTCAACCGTGAGTCCGCGACCGTGGCCGAGGCCTTGGCGCCCCGGGCTGCTGGCCCATCCCGCGCAGCGCTTCGTTCTGGCTCTCTCGCACTTGTGGGGGGCGCTCCACGAGTCCCATTCAGCGACTCTGGAGCTCAAAACGCGTCTAGAACTTTGACCGCCCCCACCGGTCCCCTGGCAAATCCACTGCACCAGGCCGCAAGTGGATGGAGCAGCGCTACCAGCAGCCCACGGCCAAGAAGGACCGGCCGTCGGCCGAGAGGCAGCACGCCGCCGCCGTGGAGATCCAGCGCCACTACCGCGGCCACGTGGCGCGGCGCCGCGTGCGGAAGTACCGCGAGAAGGAGGACACGCTGGTGGGCATGCTCATGCCCAGGAGCGTCGACTACTCGTACAAGGTGCCCCAAAAACTGACCGCTAATTTCGCAAAAACTACAGTTAAGATGCAACTTCAGCACCGAAGTTGCTCCGTTTTTCTCGGTTCGAACCGACCGCCTGCCCCCAGGCCCGCATCGAGGAGGTGCAGGCCCTGCGGCGCAAGCTGCGCCGCGACCTGCAGGCGGCCTACGAGGCCACCATCGTGCAGGAGCGCGAGTGGGTGGACCGCGTCCTCAGCCCGGACATCTTCGACGACATCGGCGACGAGATGCGCGACTGGGTGCAGTCCTGGTACTACGACGTCAAGAAGCTGCCCAAGTACCCGCCGGGCAGGGAGCGCAAGCTGGCGGGGACGCTGCTGGGGCTGCCCAGGAAGACGCCCAAGGACATGTTCCCCGTCGTGGACACCGTCATCCCGGGGGTGCCTCGTGAGTGCCATTCCGAGTGTCGTCACTCTGTCTCCCTCGCACTCGTGGGGCGTCGCGTGCAGGTGCGAGAGAGACAGAGCGACGAGGAGACGAGGACGGCGTCGGCGGCCACTCACTCGAGTTTCCTCCCTCCAGCGCGCAAGCTCGGCGGCTCCAACCTGGTGACGGCGGACTTCTGGTGCACGAGCACGGAGTTCAAGGAGGCGGCCGAGAAGCTGGCCAAGGACAAGAAGAAGGGCAAGGGCGGCAAGGCGGCCAAGACGAAGCTCTCGCGCGAGGAGAAGAAGGAGCAGCGCGCCAAGCGGCGCGAGGCCAAGAAGGCAGAGAAGCAGCGCAAGCTGGCCGACAAGCAGCGCGGCTTCCAGCTGGAGGAGTCCGCCGTCATGCCCGCGCTGGGCATCGCGGAGCAGGAGTACCGCGTGGTGCGTCCGCCACACTCTTAAAAACTTGGCGAGTTTTTCGCAGTGCAGCCGATCGTGCGGCCCATCGCACAATAGGCCGGGAGACCCCACCAATGGCTTCCTCGTTCGGGAAGCAATCCGTTGGCGGGGCCACACGTTCTGTTCGAGTCCCATTTAGCGACTCTGGAGCTCGAAACGCGTCCGGGATTTGGACCGCCTCCGTAGTGTCGCCTTTCCAGGACTGGGAGCAGATCCGGCCGCCCGAGGACAACCCGCTGGAGGAGCTGTACGTCGACCTGATCCGCGATGAAGAGATCCACGCCAAGCAGTTCGAGGTGCGGCAGGCCATCGACGACCTGATGCGCGCAGAGCTGGAGAAGCTCAAGGAGGCTGTGTGGCGGGAGAAGAACAAGCGTGAGTGTCCACGGCGGCGAGGGTTGGTGGTTCGAGTCCCGACGCCGGCAGTTGTTTGTTGTCCGTGTTGCCGACAGGGAGGAAGCGGAAGCGGAAGCGGAAAAAGAAGGGCAAGAAGCGAAAGAAGAAGAAGAAGGGGAAGCGGCGCGGCAAGAAGAAAAAGAAGGACCTGACGGCCGACAAGACGACCGACGAGCTGCTGGAGATGTTGGTGCGCGCCGGCGTGGTCAGGAACTCGGCCGTGGCCTGCATGGAGGACTTCTTCGGCGAGCCGGCCTACTGCAACTTCGAGCTGCGCGAGCGCCTCAAGGACCCCCTGCCCACGCTGGGGGACATCCGCCAGGCAAGCGGGCAAAGCGAAGCGGGAAATTGCACTCGGTGCCCCGCATTGGTTTGGACGTAGTTGCCCAAAATCACGGTTTTTACCCCAGTGTGCACCCAGTGTTGCCACACCAGCGGGGATAATCTCCCACGATGCGCACCAGTGTCGAGAGGGTTGCCAACCTCAGCGTTGCTTTCGCGCAGCAGTCCAGCAGGCAGGCTTAGGTTGGCAACCCTTGCAGCCCTGGTGCATCGCAACTTACGTGGCAACGCAACACTGCCCAGGCCGTCCGCGAGTTCTGCATCCTGCCACTGGGTTCGCGGCGCGCGCACGAGCTGGCCCCGCTCGTCAAGTCCGTGCTGCTGGCCGGGCCGCCGCTGTGCGGCAAGAGCCTGCTGGCGGACATCGTGTGCACCGAGACGGGCGCGCTGCGCATCGACCTGACGCCCGAGGCGGTGGCCGCGGCCCGGGAGAAGTTCCCCGCCAAGAAGGAGTGGAAGCTGTTCCTGCACGTGGTCAACAAGGTGGCGCGCCTGCTCGCCCCCACCGTCATCGTCATGGACAACGCGCACCGCAACTACTACAAGCGGGTCGGTGGCAAGAGAGCGCACAGTGGGCCATAAGACCGGGGGAGGCGGCCGAAACTCTGGTCGGGGTTCGATTTGAGTTCCTTTGGCGCCTTACGAAGCCAGGGTAGGCAGTCCCGTCGAGCAGCAGAGTGATGCGGGCTGGCCTACCCTGGCCCCGTAAGGCGCCGTGAGCTACTCTAAGTAAGGCAAACCCTCCAACTGAGCGCCTTCAAAGAAAATCATAGGACATTCTGAGAGGCAGAGCGATACACTTGTCAGAATCATTGCGCTAGCCATTGGACTTCACCTTCGGACTTTGCAGGTCCCCAAGGCGGAGCGCCCCCTCAAGCCCAAGAAGTTCGCGCGCACGCTCAAGAAGATCGTGAAGGGCATCAAGAAGCCCGACCAGGTGCTGGTGCTGGGGCTGACGAACGAGCCCTGGAAGGCGCGGGGCCGGCGGCTGGTGAAGGCCTACCAGAGGCACGTCTTCGTGCCGCCCCTGGACTACGGCTCGCGCTTCCTGCTCTGGCACAAGTTCATCATGGAGCACCACGGCGTGGACCGCAACTTCGAGGTGTGTACCCGCTAGCCGCCCCCTGTGCAACGTGTCCTTGACGTGTCCTTGCGTTGCCCTTGACGCGTCCTTGGCGTGTCATTGCGTTGTCCTTGACGTGTCCTTGCGTTGTCCTTGACGTGTCCTTGGCGTGTCCTTGACGCCCAGGTGACGCCGCTGGCGCACGTGACGGAGTGGGTGCCGCTGCCCACGATCCGCGAGGTGGTGAACCGCGTCCTGAGCGTGGAGCGCCGCATCCACCTGGACTTCAGGCCGCTGCGCCAGCAGGAGGTCCTCACCGCGCTGCTCGAGTTCCCGCCGGTGCCCCCCGTCAAGGTAAGGACGAAACGAAACCTCGGGTATTCGAACCCACGCCGCGCGCGTTTGAAATCCCGGACGCGTTTTGAGCTCCAGAGTCGCTAAACAGGACTCGAACCGAACGTGTGACCCCACCAATGGATTGCTCTCCGAACGAGGAATCCATTGGTGGGGTCACACAGTGGGCCAGAAGCCGGTGGAGGCGGCCAAAACTCTAGACGCGTTTTGAGCTCCAGAGTCGCTAAATGGGACTCGAACCGAACGTGTGACCCCACCAATGGATTACTCTCCGGACGAGGAATCCATTAGTGGGGTCACACGTTCGGTTCGAGTCCCATTTAGCGACTCTGGAGCTCAAAACGCGTCTAGAGTTTTGGCCGCCTCCACCGGCTTCTGGCCCACTGTAGGTCACACACGTTTGGTTCGAGTCCTGTTTCGCGACTCTGGAGCTCAAAACGCGTCTGGAGTTGTGACCCCCTGCCACGCCGTCCGGCTGTCGACAGGAGCGCGCCAAGTGGCTCAAGTGGTGGGGCCGGACGCCAATCCAGAAGAAGCGGGCCAAGGTGCTGGAGGAGTGGCAGAAGGCGGCGGAGAGCGCCTCCAAGAAGCGCCGATAACGCGCGCCAAATAGACTCTCCGACTGTCCGGCCGTTGCGAATGAGGGATGAATCCGAGCGTCGCTTTCGCGACTCGCGCCATAAACTCGCCGGCCGGCGGACAGAAACGGGACGCCCCCGCGGTCGGGCTGCCAGGCAGTGCCAGGCAGTGCCAGCCCTGTCATTGGTCTACGCGGCCGTTTCTCGGAGCAGGAGAGACACTCCGCCGCGGTGGTGATAAATCCTAAATCGCAGCACCCCACTTGCTCCCGGGGCACTCCAAGCTGCTCCAAGCGGCACGCCGAGTCCGAACGGCGCTCTCTGTCTCTCTCGCACTCACAGTGCGTCCCGGACGGGGTGCGAGAGAGACAGCGGCGGGCTCGTCTGCCGACCGGGGTGACCGACCACGACCGGCCGGGCCGGGGCCCGACTCGCGTCATTACTTATTGAAACACGCAGTTTGGAGCCTTGATCCATTTTATTCGCTGGCACGCTGCCCGGCCCGGACGGCGCCTGTCATCGCGTCCAGCTAGCTCCCTCTCACTCCCTCTCACTCCCACCGCGCCGCGCGTCATGGCGTTTAACTAGCCCCCTCACTCCCACCCCGCCGCACTGCGCCAATGAAGCTGTCCACCTGATTCACGCCACTTTGGCCGAGCGAATCCGCACCGTGTTGTAACGCTCTGTCTCTCTCGCGCCCTTATGGGGCGCCCCATGAGTGCGAGAGAGAGAGAGAGAGACACCTCCCGGTTGTAATCGGCCAGCAGGGCCACTGACCGCGCTCGCGTCGCGGTGCACACCACCTAGTGCTGGTGCGGTCGACTCGGCCGACAGTGGTGCGGTGTGTGCGTCCACCGCCGCCGACCGGAAACTTGCGGAAAAATACAACGAAAAAAAAAGTACCCCCAAAAATAATAAAAATTGTTGTGTAAAACTGCGATTTGAAGTCGATAAGGTCCGTGCCGTTCCCCCAGCACGCGTGGTTCCTCGTCGGGATGGATGCCCGCTAATTGGTGGCCCGGGCCGGCAGGACACGGTGCGGCATGGCGTGCGTGTGTGTGTGTGTGTGTGGGGGGGGGGTGATGGATATCGGAGGCACTGAATCTCCATCTCGACCATTTGAGACAAAAGAAAAGTGACGCCATGTGGGAGGAAAAGGGGGTGGGGAGGGAGAGGGGGTCAGCAACATACGAATATATGAGAAAAAACGCTGAAAAAGTTGGTGGACGACTGGAAGACGAAGAAAAAAAAGGATTTGGTAAGACGGTGAAGGAAAGAAATAAAGAAATAAAAGGGAGAGGGAGAAAGAAGGGGCCGAGCCGACCATGGCCGCGCACCGCCATGCTGTTCGGTGATAGCATCGCGAACCAAGGAGGAGGAGAAAGGGGGGGGGGGTAAAAACGAGGCGCACAATGGAGAAATAAGGCGACGCATCAAAACAATTACCAAGAAGCATTGGGATAAACCGCCGCCAGGGACCTCTACCCCCGCTGGAGCCGCGGGGCTTTGGCGGGGCTCGGCGGACCGCGGCAACCGGAGACAAAAGTGCATAAATTAGTAGGGAAGGGCTAGTTCCGATTACTTGGCGATAAGCCGGCCGTAGCTCATCCAGGCTCGGCGAGCGAGCCAAAGGCAGCCAGCGACTCGCGGGCCGGACGCCAGCAAGCGAACCAAAGGCAGCCAGCACGCTGATTCCGAGAGTCGTTCTCGTCGCTGTGTCTCCTTCGCGCTCACTCGTGGGGCGTCCCCACCAGTGCGAGAGAGACAGAGCGACGAGAACGACTCTCGGAATCAGCGTGCAGCCAGCCCGGCCAGCCAGCCAATGGCCCATTCATCGGACCGCTCATCTCGGCCAGCCAGCGGCTGTATTCCGAACTGTGCCTGTCTCTCTCGCACCCCAACGAGCCGCCGCATGAGTGCGAGAGAGGCAGAGCGGCAAAAGCGCTACTCGGAACGAGCCTGGAGCCAGGCACTGCCAGGCACTGCCAGGCACCCTCGTAGGCTGCGATGGTCCGACTCGTGGCCATTCATGGACTCGCACTATCGCCCATAAGGCCGGGCCGCCAGGCCGCCAGGCTGTGAGCCCGCGAGCCCGTAAGGCCGCGAGCGACGTTCGAACCGCATCGCAGTCCCAGCGTAGGAGCAGAACCAGAACATGGAACAATCCATAGTAAATACTAGTCTGGCCAAACCACGATTTCTACAGATTTGTTACCATTTCGACAAACTTTGCTGCAATACCGCTCCCAAACCAGGACGCCTTTTTACTGGTATTTCATAACTTACTTTTAAACCAGTTATGAAAATGGGAACACCTTGCAATGCGATTAGCATTGGAATTTTTTCTCTTACGTTTTCAATTCCCGTCCACCCTTCCGACTTTGTTTTCCGCGGTGGAGTCGCAGATCGGCTGGCCTGGCCGGCCAATCACAGCCGCGCTGGCCGGGCCCGTCGGCCCCCATGCACTGCCCCGCACTGCCCCGCACGCCGCTGCCTCGCTCGCTCTCTGTCGCTCTCACGCGCACGCGGGGCCAGGCGCAGGGGTGCGAGGGAGACAGACGCAGTCGGGCTTTGCTCCGCCGCAGCCTCATGCAGTGCAGTGCCTCATGCAGTGCCGCGGCTTGCCGGTAATGAATGGCGGCGTAAGTCATGCTCCGCGATTGCACGGGGGAGGACGAGGACCGTAAAGCATGCGGTGGTGCACTGCGTTGCACCGCGCACAGTGGGCCAGACGACCGGTGGAGGCGGACAAAACTCCAGACGCGTTTTGAGTTCCAGAGTCGCTAAATGGGAGTCGAACCGAACGTGTGACCCCACCAATGGATTCCTCGTTCGGAGAGCAATCCCGCTGTCGCAGTCGACAGCGGCCGCCGATTCAGAACAGTCGCTGTCCGTCTCACTCGCACCCCCACGGCACACCCCGAGAGAGAGAGAGAGAGATACACGCCGCCGGCTTGGCTTGGGTGGAGGCGCGGACTGTCATAGGCTGCTGGAGTTATCACGCGTGAAAGTGTGTCGCGAAGCAGGCGGCCGGGTCCACGCACTTGTTGTTGTTGTTGTTGTTTTTGTTTGTTGCTGTTGTTCGTACCGATACCGCGGTCCCAATAAACGATCCCCGGCGCCCATTACAGCCGCGGTCCTAACTCATCCTCGCCGCGCGGCCGGCGCGGCCGGCACGGTCGGTTTCGCGGCTCGCGCGCCAAGTGCCTGCGGAGCGCTGCGAAGCGCGAAGCCTGCGAACTGCAACGCCCTTACGAGCCAGGAAGACCGATTCCGAGAGTCGTTTTCGACGCCCTGTCTCTCTCGAACCTATAGGGCGTTCCGTATAGGTGCGAGAGAGACAGAGCGACGAAAACGACTCTCGGAATCTGTGTGCAGAGTGATGATCCCGAACGCCGCGTTCGACGCACCGTCCCGCTCGCTCGTAAGGATTTCCGGACTCGGGTGCGAGAGAGACAGAGCGACGAAAGCGCCCCGTCTGGTGGGCCTCTGCAGCAAGAGCGAGAGAGACGGCTGCGAGCAAGCTGCAGAGCGCGGCATTCGTTATGGTGCTCGGCAATGCAAATCAGGTCATTACGAGTAAAAAGCGCGCCGGGTGCCTTCGGGTACCTTCGGGTGCCTTCGGAGTACCTTCGGGTGCATGCAGGCCGCGCACCAGCACACTGTTTCCGAGAGTCGTTTTCGTCTCTCTGTCTCTCTCGCACCCATACGGGACGCCGCATGAGTGCGAGAGAGGCGGAAAGCGACTCTCGGAATCAGTCGGCAGGTCCGGGACGCACCATGCTGGACGGCCAAACATGGCGACCTGGCTGCTGACTCGACTTTGAGTAGTGGAGGTGGATTCCGACGGCCCGCCCGCACTGGTCTGACTAAGCACAGTGGGCCAGAAGACCGGGAAGGCGGTCAAAATCCCGGACGCGAGGCAGTGCAGCAGTCTAGCATTCCGCTACACTGCGGGCGCGGGACGGCCCCAGGATGGAGCGAATTGATTGTGTGTAATCTAGTGGAAACTCTTTTTTTCCCTTCCTTAGAGAGGTGGAGCGAGAGAGAACCAGTTTCTAGTTTAGAGAAGAGAGAGAGAGGGGGGCTGGACGCGTGCCCGCGTTGTTGCTGCTTCTTCGTCGTGTAATTTGCGCGGCCGCCGTGTACCGAGTGCCGACGGCCCGGCGGGCTCTGGGCGGCCCGTGCCCCGGACGAGGGGGGCGAGCCTGTCAACACGGCGGCGGGCCTCGAGGCGGCGTGTCCACTCCACTGTGAGTCCGCGGCCCGCACCAAACATGCGCCAAAGCTGTCCTCCGCGCCGCTAATCGTTTTGCGAAATGCCCGCGTCTAAGTTACAGTGCGGTCGCCGAGATGCCGCGACGCGATTGCCGCATGTGCCGTCGATGCATTGCCCTGCCCCGAACGGTGGCTCCGTCTCTGTCGCTCTCGGAGGGCCGTTCGGAGGGAGTGCGAGAGAGAGAGAGAGAGAGAGAGAGAGAGAGAGAGAGAGAGAGAGAGAGAGAGAGAGAGAGAGAGAGAGAGAGAGAGAGAGAGAGAGAGAGAGAGAGAGAGAGAGAGAGCGCGCCCCGGCGATGCATCAGCGTGCATCAGCCCGCGGCAAGAAAAGCACGGCACGTCGGTACCGCCTTGCTGGGCCTCGCAGACCCGCAGACTGGCGGTGGAGGCGTGCTGCGCAAGTAGTCGCCGACTACGCCGAGTATCAGCGAGGCTTGTGGCCTGTGCTCCTCTCGGGGGCCGTCCCCCGAGCACCACAGTGGGCCAGAAGACCGGCGTAGCCGGCCAAACCTCTAGACGCGTCTTGAGCTCCAGAGTCGCTAAATGGGACTCGAACTGAACGTGTGACCCCACCAAAGGATTGCTCTCCGAACGAGGAATCCATTGGTGGGGTCACACGTTCGGTTTGCGACGATCCCCTTCGTCGGTCTCTGTTGCACTCGGCGGGGTCCAGGCCGCCGGGGCGCGAGAGAGACAGAGCGACTGCGCTGCCGAATGGCGAATCTCTTTGCCGGCTTACGGGAGCCCCCCCGCGTGCTGCCCCCCGGGGCCCCCCGGGGTGGGGCACTACTACTCCGCACACATTGTCCGAAAGGCAGCCACGCCACGCCCCCGTCCAGCCTGCCGGATTTATCAGCCAATCAGCTCGTTGCGAAACAAAAGGCAGCGTTAGCGCAGCGGGGGCGGGGGCCGCCGGCAAGCGAGGCCGAAGGGCCGAAGGCACGCCGCCAAGACGGCCAAGATCTTCCAGTAGACTGATCCCCAGAGTCGTTTTCATCGCTCTGTCTCTCTAGCGCCGACACGGGACGCCCCATGAGTGCGAGAGAGGCAGAGCGACGTAGAGGACTCTCGGAATCAGTGCACAGGCCGTGCGGGACCGCGGGCGCCCTGGACCTGCCGCCGCCGCCCAGTCTGAAGCATCGTCTCGTCGCTCTGTCTCTCTCGCGCCCCTTCGAGACGCCGCACGAGCGCGACAGAGACAAGGAGAGATCCCTCAGAACCAGGTGGCAGGGCAGGGCAGGGCCCCGCGGGGTGCGCTGCTGCTCCGAGAATCCAGACTGCGGTAGCGGCGAAGCGGGATTGCCATCGCGGCCGTCCAGTGATAACAGCCGCCAGAGGTGCACGCCGCCGTGGAGTGCCCTGCGCACGCCGAGCGGTGCACAGTGGGCCAGAAGACCAGTGGAGGCGGTCAAAATCCCGGACGGGTTTTGAGTTCCAGCGTCGCTAAGTGGAACTCGAACCGAGCGTGTGACCCCATCAATGTTCAACGAATGTGACGTCACGTTCCTTTGAATGTGAAAACTGTCACGTGACAAGCCACACTCAAAGGAACGTGACAGGCTTGGTTCATTTGTCATTTTAATTTGACGCGACGCCACGCCACGACTGCCCATAGTCAACCGACTGCCAATAACGACTGAAGGCGCTTTTTGAGCTTCTTTTGTTTTCCTCACGGTATTTGCAGTTTTGAAATGGTCGCTTGCCTGTTTTGTTGTCAGCTGTTCGACGCGATTAAATTATAATTTTTCTTGTACTGTGTCACGACGATTCTTCGAGAACGATCTGTGCGTTAGAGACTTTTTGTGTGTCACTTCTTGAATACCCAGTGGAATGCCTGTTGCTTGGAATACTGTGAGAATCATACAAGTTTATGAACACCAAGTCACCTTCATTATGAGTTTGCCACTACAGAAAGCAATGTTTTGGTTTGCTTTCAACGTCGGATACGATCAGAAGCAGTCACCCTGTCCACAAATTGATTCAGAGGGGCTGCTCAGAGTACCTAATAAGGTTAGTACATTTTAAACAAAACAAAAGACTGGGCGGGAACCGAAGCACGGCGTAATCGATCGCCACCGCCACCGCGTCGTCGTGGACCTGCCCACTGACTCCGAGAGTCGCTTTCGTCGCTCTGTCCCTCTCGCACTCATGGGGCTTCCCGTGTAGGTGCGAGAGGGACAGAGCGACGAAAGCGACTCTGGGAATCTGGACCTTCTCGGGCCGAGCGAGCGGCACGCGCGTCACGGGGATGGGGTTATTGCCGGCAAGCCCCGGGCTGTC